TATCTGGACAAAGTTCACAAGACATAGTTCATGAAGTTGAGAGCAAGGTCCTTGTGTTTAATGCAATGTAGATATTATGTGAAACAGAAGAAAACTGATCATTGGATGTGGCAATACAGGAGTCCTTGGCAAGAACAGTGTGAATGGTGAGGTTAGGAAGCCACGTTTCAACAATTTAAAAAACACTTTATCTGAGTCGGATAGAAGTGACTAGTATAGATCACTTAAGAATTTTCATAATGAAGGAATATCTGAACCCCTAGAAGGTACTCAGAATAACCTTTATGCTTTGAAAGTGTTAGATTAGATTTGATTTGATTCACAGGTAATTCTCTTTTGGAAAAGAAATTCCATACTAATGTGAGAGTTTGTCAAGTGAACTTGAAGATAAGTGCCAAAGTAGTATAGAAATATAATGAAGTTTATTTTACGAGAAATTTTTGTTGAACAATATTATTCAGCATGGTATTATTAAGCAAGAAGAAAAGAAGAAGAAGGAGAAAGAGCAGGAAGAGGAGGAGAAGAAGAGGAATCTGTCTGCCATCTTGCTAACATTTATCCTCTTCGACAAAAATATCACATGGCACATTTGAAAAGGATAAAAACAATCTTATGTTGTGTTTTTCTGTGTCAAATTAAATCTCATGCCAAGGGACGGGGATAAGTTCAATATCAGTCATTCTTCATAGCTCCCTTCTCTTTCTTCGAACTTTACCAGGATTCCAGAGCTTATTGAATTCCAGGGTAAACAAGGAGAGAGACCTCTGGCCTTTTGTCTGTTGTGATCAGTACCAAAGATACGCTCAAGGCTCAGTCTCATTTAGTCTGTGAGTTTTGTGTCTCATTAGATACATTAGACACAAGGTAGATGGCTGGGTTATGCCCACTCAGCCATGGGGAACTGTGCCATAATCACCAAGCCATGGCACTGAGGGTTCTCCCTGGCTTAATGCAGCCACCTGTGTTTTTCCAGTGGTTCTAATTTCTAGAAGAAAGCCACTACTTCCCCACTTAATACTGGCTTCTCCCACTTTTTCCTAATCTACCTCTCCAGGGACCAGGCTTTTCACACCTCCAACACTTGATATTTTTGTCATAGAGGATAAATGTTAGCAAGATGGCAGACAGATTCTTCCTCTTCTTTCCCTTCCCCTTCCTCCTCTTCCTCTTCTCCTTCCCCTCCCTCTCCTTCTTTTTCTTTTTCCTTAATAATAGAGTGATGAATAATAGTGTTCAACAAAAATATTCTCTCAAGACACCCAGGCTTACTTTTCCCACTACTTTCTTTAATAATGGACTTAACAGTTCATTAATAAGGTCTAGATATTTTAAACAATGAGAACCCAATGCCAACATCATAAAAGAATATTTTCTGGGGATAAGATGCTCCCAGTCTTTAGAAAAATAATAGTCTCTCAGGGATATGCAGCATACTGCTTCTAAGCAACAGAAAATAAATAATACTGTTGAATGTTTACATCCAATCTTACTCCATTTAATTTTCAATAACTCAGCCTGTTGCATATTTGTCTTCGTTTAAGGGGCATCATTAGTGTTTCCTGGTTAACCTAGAAGCTAATTGGTCTTTCTTGGCAGGAGAAAAAAGGCACGAAGGGATAATGACCAAATGATGTGAGCATATCACTTATTACCAAGCTCTTAGAAGCTGGATAGGGGAAGCTTGGTGAAATAATTAGGAAAAGCCTGGTGAAATAATCTAAGAAATTGTCTCATATATATGATGTTAGTGTTTTGGTGGCATAAAGTGGCTCCTGTTTAGTAGAATGCCTAGGGAAAGATATGGCTGGGCCATGCCCTCAGCTCACACAGTAAGTCAAGGACAGGGAGAAGTTGAGCACATCCAGCATATATAATTGGGGCAAGTAGAGACACAGAGAGTGGAGAGGTGGCATTCTTCTAACTTTACCCTCTGACACACAGCTGTGGAAGAAACCTGTTGTGAGGAGGAATGATCAAAGGCACAGCTTTCAGGAAGATGCTTTCTATTTTCTTGACCATGTCCTGCTGAATGGTTTCATGGACCACCATTAATGTTATAATTAACTATTTGATTTCTTTATTTCATAAGTTATGTTTATTGTTAAAAAAGAAGAAAATTATAGATGAGAAAAATGAATTTATAAATACTTACAATAGCTCCTTGGACTTAACCACTGTTGGTAATAATAAAAGAAATTTTTACGTACTGAGATATGGAGAAGTCATTCTGGCTTATACATGAGTTAACTTGAATATTATGCTAACTAAAACAGCCTGTTTGTGGTCTATCAAACATACATTCCACATCTGCTTTCATTATTAAAGAAAAGGGCACAATGACCATAAGTAAAGAATGTCTATGATAAAAATAAAGATTAAATGCCTCTCTTCCTGGGACATCAATGCTGGTCCTCCTTTGATGATAAGACTCCCTTCCCAGGTGCCAAGGCCACACTGTACATGCTGTACGTGTACGTGCTGCTCTATTTTTCTGAAACCTTGCAGAAATGTATCCCTGACTTGTTTAATGTTCTTTGTTCTGACAAGATAGAAAAGTGTGCTGAAAACCCTGCTTCTCTGGAGCAGTTTCTCAGAGTAATCTGGGAGGCAGGCTCCTGGGCTGGTCCTTAGTTTGTCTCAGATAAAACTCTTTTCTATTCTTATTATTGATTGTTTATTGATCATTTTTGTCAACAGTTATATATGCCATCTGAAGTTTTTTGTATACAGATACAGACATATTTGTTGAGAAAAAAAAAGATGAGCTCAAACAGCACATACTATTTTGTGGCTTGCTATTCTGAACAACTGGTTAAAAAACAGACAAACAAATAATGGTTTATTGTGGTTACAGCAGATTCTGCAGGTGTTTGAAATACATCAGAGACTTCTTTGGGCTAGGTTCCACAAAAGATCCCGAAGACTTGAGTGGATCTAAAGTTTTGTAAGGTCAGCGCTGAGACTGAAACAGGAGGAAAAGAGGCATATACTCTCTCTTCCCCATAATCTCCCTCTCCTCTTAGATGTTAAGAGCTGAGTCATGCAGCTCAGCTCACAGCATTACTCCAGAGTGACTATGCCTCCCTCAAAGTCCCAGATCATAAGGTCAAGAGAATGACTAAGGACCGAGGAGCCATGGAAAGGCCAATTCTGCTCTTGGGTTTCACTTATTAAACTAGTCCTACCTTATTGAATACTGCTTCCTTTAGGCTATTTTGTTTTTTGATTGGTGTAAACAGTCTGATTCTCTCATCTCTCTCTCCTAATATAATTCTTTGCGGAGTCCAGAACTAATCTCTTAGAAATTTCTTTGCAGGAATAATGGGAAGGTGCCAAAACGACCGCCCAGGAAAACCCATATCATGTTTAAAGATTTCCAAGACTGACTCTGGACGTTATTTGTCAGGAAGGAGTAGAGCAGGGTAGTTTAAAGCATGGCTTCTGGAGACCAAGACTGAGCCTCCACCCTGGCTTGACTATTTGCGAACTGCATGGCACAACCAGGGCAAGTTACTTAACATCTCTTTTCCTCAGTTTCCTCATTTGAAAAATGAGTGATTATATTACAACCTACCTCATTAGGTTGTTTGTCAGGTTTAAATGTGCTTTTACACATAAAGTGCTTAGAACAGGACCCAGCAGATGGTGAATCCTCGGTAGTGTTAGCTATTAATATTAACTCAGGTGCTCTCAGTCTTCCATTTTCCCTCACTCAGGGAGGGTTCCTCCTTCAAACATCCAATCTCCTTATCCCCTCTTCCTGTGTGTAATTCAGACTACTCCCTGAAAAGCAATCATGCATGTTTATGCTCCAGTGTAAAAGCCGCATTTGCGATATCACCAACCTTAATCTGAAATGATGGAACTAGAGTTGTAGGTAGTGTAACATTTGGAACATGCCTCCTGCAAGATGACTCTCAAAGCTGGCTGACCCAGGGCAGTAGGGAGAAGTGCCTTCCTATTTCTAAATGGTGATGCAAATCTAATTGTTCCACAGTATTAAAAGCTTAAAATCCGTAACAAATATTCTGTGGGTCAGATTCTACTACAGCCCATTCAAGTGAAGGCTGCTTTTCTTTCACAACCCTATATACTTCTGTGTATCAGGTCCAGAGCTGAGGTCAGTAGGCTCTTTTCTCTCCGTTTCTTAATGTTGCTTTCCTACCCTTACTCTTCCATCTGCTTGTTAAAAACCTCTGTATTTTCAAGGTTCATGCCATTTGGCTGTATCACCTTTTAGTCTTCTTGTGTCTGTCATCTCTTGGCATCCTAGGCAATACTTCTCATTTGCTGAAGACTCAAGCTCTCAGTTCATAAACCTCCCTCTCCACCCTACTTCTGATATCCATATGAGTGACTTCAGTATCTAAAGTACTACTTATCCAACACCCTGGCTTTTGGTTTCTTGATTTTTTATTTTCAGTAACCTCCACCCCTCTCACTTTAGGCACACTTCCCAATATTACACCCTGCTCCTTGTCTTCATCTCAAATTATTTTGCCTGTAAAATCACTAAATTAGACAACCTACTCTCAGCCACTGTCTCCCATCATTTCTGTTTATTTGCCTTTCTACTCCCCATATACTTGTTTTTCAGACTAACTTCTGGTCTTTCTCGGTACCCATTTGCCTCCTCTTGTCCTCGTTTCCTCTCAGTCCAACTTGCAACCAGTCATTTCTGTCATTCTTTTGACAGTGATCTATATTCTTTGTCCCTTTGTCCTTTTGGTTCATTTGAGGGAAATGCTGAGTCCCAGGTAAATGAATTATTGGATGAAAACTTTAGTTTTATCCACCTTCACCATGCCTTCCCATGGGCTTCTGAGCATAGCCAGAGAAAAATCACATAACCAGGCCTATTACTATAACTACAAATTCAGGGTCACCATGTTCAGTTGCCTTCAGGGCTTCCCAAGACTCTTACTGTATCTCTCAAGTCTTACTGTTCTTCTACTCTTGTAATGGCTATATCAAACTTCCCTCTCAACTTCCAACCTCTTCTCTTCCCATCTCTGGCCCCTCATCAAGTCTCAGGAGATGAATCTGCTTCTTGTTTCATTGTGAAGGAAGAAGCCAATAAACTGGTACTCCTGCAACTCTGCCACAAAATCCTCATACCCACTGGCGTGTGGACCCAATTCCCTCTGTCCCTTTTGTGATCATGTAGCAAATATCCTTCCTTTTGCTTAAGACTAATACTTGCATTTTTGCTTTTGATATCACTCCCCATCTCTTCTTAGTAAGCTTGCTCCGTTATTCATCTTTCACCTGTATGATAAATAGCTCCCTCTCCTCTAATATAAAAAAAAGCTCCTAGAAACTGAGAAGAAAAAAGCCAACAACCCAAAGGAAAAATTGATAAAGATGTAGACAATGAGACTTTGAGAAACAAAGTTCACTATAAAAAAGTACAGATTGCCTTTAAATATATGAAAGCATGTCCTACTTCTTTCATAATAAGATAAATCCAAAATAAAAGTATGGTAAAATACCAGTGACCACTCTTCAGACTACAAAAAAATTCAAAGGTGTGATAGCATTTTCTGTAGCTGGAGGTAGAGGAAACAGGCACTTTCACATAGTGCCTTGGAGGACAAAATTGTACAAACCCAATGCAAGGCAATTTGAAAATATCCATCAAAATTTAAAATACATTAATCTTTAATTCAGAAATCCCACTTCTGGAATATAAGCCTAAAAATATACCTACACTTACAAACTTTCAACTGTACAAAGTTATTCAATGCAGCATTGTTTATAGTAGCAAAAAGTTGGAAACAACCTGTGTACTAATCTGGAAAGATACACAAGAGCTATTGTTAAGTGAAAAAAAATCAAAGTTGTGCTACTTTTGTGTAAGAAAGATGGAAAAGAATATTAATTTACATTAGTATTTGCTGATATCTGCACAAAGAAATAATGGAAAGTTTCAAAAAAACTAATGATGGTTACATATAAAGGCCAGGATAGGGGATGTGGATTATGGGGAACTAGAGTAAGACTACTCAATGTATAATTTCAAAAAATTTAAACCAAGTGAATTTCTTACTTACGTAAGAATAATTAAATTGAATTTTTTAACATTTTGCCATCTGACCCACATGGCTACTCCAGATGCTAACCTAGCTCACTCCTTCCTTTTGCATTCAGCATTTTCTCAGAGTTGTTTTTCTTATAGTGTCTAGTTCCTTAACCTCCTACTCATGAACGCATTACAGTCTGGCTTCTGCCGCAATTAAGTAACTAAATTGTTCTCACCTGTTGTCATCAGTGACCTCCATATTGCCAAATCTGATATGTATTGTTTAGTCTTTCTCTTACATAATCTCTCAGGAACATTTGACAAGTGACCTCCTTTCTGATTCATGTTCTTCCCTTGATTTGCATGTCTCCACACAATCCTAGTTTTCCTCTCACCTCTCTGGATGCCCTTATCTTTCTTTTCCTCTTCCCCCTTACCTTTTCTCTTTTGGTCAAGGGCAATGTCTAGAGGCAGATGCAATTGTTGAACTTCTAGCAGCCAAATTCCTGGCAGTTGTGGAAGGGAAATCTCTGGAGGGAGCACCACCGCACCCACTGCAGGTTATGTATTGTGAGTACTTCCCCCTAGTATGTGATTTGCCTCTTCATTTTCTTTTCAGTGTCTCAATGAATGGCTAGTTTTAATTTTTACAAAGGCCAATTAATCTCTTTTTTTTCTTTTATGTTACATGCTTTCTTTCTGTAAAGATTTAAAATTTTTTATTTTGGTAAAAAACACATAATGTATAATTTTCCATCTTGACCATTTTAAAGTGTACAGTTCAATAATGCTAAGTAATTCACTTTGTTATAAAATAGATCTCCAGAAATTTTTCATCTTATAAATCTAAAACCCTATACCCATTAAACAACAACCCCCATCTTCTCCCCTCCTCCAAGCCCTGGTAACCACCATTCTACTTTCTGTCTCTATGATTTTGACTACTCTATATACATCATATAAGTGGAATCATACAGTAGTTGTCTTTTGATGACTTGCTTATCTCACTTAGCATTATATCCCTAAGGTCCATTCATTTTATATCATGTGACAGGATTCCCTTTCTTTTTAAAGCTGAATAATATTCCATTATATGTCTATACCACATTTTATTTATCCATTCATCCATCAGTGGACATTTGGATTGCTTCCACCTCTTGTCTACCGTGAATAGTGCTACTATGAACATGGGCATGCAAATGTCTCCTTGAGACCCTGCTTTCAATCCTCATGGATGTATACCCAGAAGTGGGATTGCTGGATCATCTGGTAGTTCTGTTTTTAAATTTTAGGGGAACCTCCATGTTGTTTTCCATAGTGGCTGAACCATTTTACAATCCCACCAACAGTGTCCATGAGTTCCAATTTCTCCACACCACACCCAACTCCCGTTTTCTCTCTCTCTCTGTTTTTTTTTTTTTTTTTTTGCAGTAACTATCCTAATGGATGTGAGGGTATTTAGTGGCTTTAGTGTCTTCTTTAAGAAATATTTACCTATTCCAAGATTTCAAATATATCCTTCCACATTTAAAGTTTTGGCTTTTACGTTTAAGACTAGATTCATCTCAAACTAATCTTTGTGTGTGATATACAGTAAGAGTCAAGGTTCATTATTTTCAGTTGAATATCCAGCTGTTCTGGCACTATGTGGTGAAAAAAACTTTCCAATCTACACTGAGTTTTTTTGACACCTTAGCAAGTGTCTTTTGACATTGGTTATAAGAAGCATTCCAAATTCGGAAATGTTAAGCTGTGGGGGGAAAAGTGCATCTTAGAACTGAGAAAATTGGAACTTCTTTCTAATTCTTACAGCAGCTACCACAGTATACGTCACACACAGGGAGTGGCACAAGATGTTTTGGAAGCAGATGAATCTGAATTGAGACCCAGCTCTGCATGGCCTTAAACGATTTCCCTAATGTCTGTTTGCCTCAGTTTATACCAGGAGGATCCGATGTTGTGATGAGAAATTAAACTATGTAAAATGCCTGGTGAAGCTATTCGATAACTATTCCTTTCCCCTCGTATTTTCATTTTCTCCAATAAATATTTATTATCTTCATCACTTAGTGACTTGGGGTGAGAAAGAAATTTCTCTAAATTCTCTGTGTTTAAAAAAGACTTTCAGATTGATTTCAAGTCTCCTTGCCTTTAGCAAGATATACCGTCTAGTGTTAATCCTGTTTCTCTGAAATAGTCACTTTTTCAACTTCTCGAGAGAGGTTTTCACATAATTATTTTGAAACCATCATGTTAAGGAGAAATTTAGTCACAATACTATCTGATTACTAGAAGTTAGAAATCCTTCAGCTTCAGTTAGACTAAAGCAGAGCTTCTCAACTTGAAGGGGCACACGACTCACCTGAATTCCTGATGCTGGCTCAGGAGGTCTGGAGTGGAGCCTGATTTCCTGCATTTCTAATAGGCGCCAAGGGGATGCTAATGGTTTTGGTGTGAGGACCATATTTTCAGAAACTAGGGATTAGAGGCTCTAGTTCTCTGGGAAAAAAAATGTTTTTAAACCCTGAGGTTCATGAATAAGATTTCCCTTGGCTGAGGATGCTTTGGTTGAAGGAAGAGAGGGAACTTTTTATTGAATTTTATCATGCACATACCATACAGGCATATGTATGAGGTGAAGCCCAGGTAGACTGAGCACAAACATTTTCTCTTTGAGGAACTCTGGAATTGGAGTCAGACGATATAGTTTCACAACCCAGCTTTCCCACTTTTTATCCATTGTGACCTTTGTCAAGTTGCTAAGCTCTCTAAGAGTAGTTGTAAGGATGAAATGAAATAATATAAATGCATTTATCCTGGCTTCTCAATAGCATTTACTAGGTATCACCTAAATATGAATTTCTTTAGAAATTCTTGGCAGACTAATTCATTAAATAAAAATAAAGGACACTGGCTAGAGTGTCCAGACTTGGGTTTAAAATCTTACCTTCCCCTGAGTAGCTGGGTGATCACTAGACAATTGGGAGCTAGTATCTCTTATACATCAAATAAGGAGATTGACGTGGATGTCTTACAGTCCTCACAGTCCTAAGGGCCCTCACATCCTAATAATCCATGTGATTCTTGTGACTTCTCTGTAAGGCAGACTCAGGCAAACATTAAAAGAAACTGTTTCTTGAATCAGGATTATCTGAATTGACATAAACCAGGGGTAAGGAGAAGAAAGAAAGAAAGGGAAAAGAAAGATCCTGGAGTGGTGCTGGCCCATCTCTTTGGTTCTTTTAGCTCATGCCAGCTTTCAAAAGCAAGACTTAGCGCTTAGGAGAGCTGGCCTCCAGAGACACCTCATCTGTTTCAGTAATAATAAGGGTTTCATCCCCTTAGTCACCACTCACCTTTAGGCATAGGAATAGTGGGGGAAGGTGGCACATAAAGTCTGCTCAGTCAGTTGTTGACCCTGAAGTTTGTTCAGAATGCAGTCATGTCTCTTCCCAGGCATGTATGAGACTCATAAATCCCAAACACACAATTAGAAACTTTAAGGTAAAGAAACCCAAAATGACACTGGATAAAATAAGAGGCAAGAACATAAATCTCTCAACCACATTTCAAGTTCAGTATATTTTGCAAAACATCACAGAAACATGTATGGGAAGACATGAAGTATGAAGAAAACAGAGATAAACCACATCAACAAATCATTATACTACTGAACCATATAATGATAGCTTGTTTTTAAAACTGTAAACAATGCCAATGGGTAAAAATCTTAATGTCGATCTCCTGATTTGAATGTGAAAATGACCTTCTGAAGTAGGTACTGTTATCTACAGTATACAGTTGGGAGTCCTGGGCCTTAGGAAAGTTAAGCCGTTTACCCAAGATCACAGTTAGTGGGCAGCTATTATTTAAACTGAGGCAGTCTAATTTCTGATCCCACGTTCCTGATCATTATACTCCACTGCCATGCGGCTCTGTGGACCTGACTGAGATTTACTTAGTTTCAAGGTCTTTGGTCCAGATTATGTG